AATGACTGTTAGCTCTCTGTTCGTTAGATGCTGGGCTGATCTGATCTGAGTGTCATGAGCTATTGTACGTTTTGCAACTGTTAGCAAACTTTGAGTACTGAACTGATCATATGATACTGGACTATGTTATATGGATTATCCCTTAACTGAACGACATTGATGACTGACTGCCTTATCCGTGTATGACTTGGACTATTTGATGGACCTCGATTTCCACGAAAGTAAAAGCCTATTTAAACTGCAGTGGCGCTGTATGCTGGTTTGTGTGTTCTCCAACAAAACTCTCATAACGCTTCGCTGAACGTACTTGCTCTCCCAATGGGGAGCTTACCTAACAACTCTGATATGGTTGGATCCAAATTAAGTCATAGTTACAATATGGCCATTGAAATCACCAGGGTCTCATCAATTTCTCAGCATGATTAAGACTCACGATCATACAAACCATGAATATTTAAGAATGTATGAAAAGGGTAAACTAATCACCATTTCTCTCAGTGGCCTGTCAGGCTTCAGGAAATACATGCTTTATTTCTCATCTGTATGCATTATTATTTCTCATCAATATGCACCTTACTCATGAAATAATAATCTAACCCTTCTCATATCTATGTACATAGTAATTTATTAAACAGATTTCTATGTAGCTAGACAACCATATACTGTACCAAGTGACATACCAAAATCAATGTCAAGCAGTGCTGCATTGGCACCCTCCACCAGAATTTTCTTTGGAGGGCCGTGTAGTGCTTCGTACATAAAATAAACTCCATCTTTGACCATTGGTCTTATTGTTTCAGCATATCCCTGCAATATTCCATATATATATGAAAAGTTACTATATTTCTCCTATATTGGCTGAAAGTTAAGAATACAAGCATATCAGAAGCCAAACCAGAAAAAACACAATTTCTAGGCAATTAAGGAGGAAATATACAGGTTGCTAACTGTGATAGGCTGGCTAGACACAAGAATAAGGTTGATTATATTTATCATGACAAATTCTGAAGTTTTGCCAGTTTAATCTGCAGGAGAATAAATGGCATCTTGTCAGATCCTTTTGGATGACTTTGGGCATTTAAGAATCTGAACAAGATGATTGAAAAAGTTTGAACCATTCAGACTGAAATAGTTATGTCTCATAACTACAGATAGTCCTGGACTTACAACAGTTAATTTAGTGACCGTCCAAAGTTATATCATCAATGAAAAAAGTGACTTATGACCATTTTTCACACTTACAACCATTGCAACATTCCCATGGTCACATGATCAAAATTCAGATTGTTAGCAACTCTCTCACATTTATGACAGTTGCAGTGTCCTGGGATCATGTCATCACATTTTTCTACCTTCTGACAAGCAAAGTCAATGGATAAACAAGATTCACTTAACAACCATGTTACTAACTTAACAATATTATGATTCACTTAACAATTGTGGCAAGAAAGGTTGCAAAATGGGGTAAACACACTTAACAAAGTTTTGCTTAGCAAAATAAATTTTGGACTCAATTATGGTCGTAAGTTGAGGACTACCTGTAATTGCATATAGCACAAAAATATTCAGCTGAGTCCAAGAGGTTATAAATTCTTTTTTAGGTGAAGGAGTTTTTCCAGTCATAATGACACTAGTTCTAGTCATCTCAGAAGTTTTCACCATCATCATTAATCATGACATTCTCCTGGAAAGATAATCCAATCTAGGTTTATCTATTCTGTTAAAATTCCAAATTTCAAGATGGGAATGTTAGAGGTTTACCTTCAGTTTTTTTAGTTGTCCTTCTATGTCAACTTCTAAAGAAGGAAACATTGACTTGTACTGGTGAGCCAGATTTTTAAATCTGCAAAACATCAACAATTAGCAGCATACACTGTACATAGATATTTTAAACTGTATGTTTCCCTACAAATCACAGGCAAAAAATACCTGGTGAAATATGCATGGAGACCAGGTTATATGTTCAAACAACAGGTTTTTAAGTGTCAAAGATAATCAGAATTTATCTTAATTAAGTCAATGAAATAAATATTTCTCCAAATCAAGCCTGTTTTCAGTAATATATGCACAACTATCTTCACAGTTCCCCACAGAGCACATTCATACATACTTTCCCTTCTGTACAATATCTTAAGAGTCTACAAAAAGTTCCCATCCAAGAGGTTTCTTGTTGTGCAGTCAACAAGAATACCTTAATGAAAATTCACTGAAGTCTGAAAGAAGATCACAGATCCGAAGTCCTGTCCGTGCAGCTTTGGAAGAATAAGTTGGTCCAATTCCTTTTTTTGTCGTGCCAATGCTAGCGAAAAAAGACAATTGAGTGGAATCAACCGTTGAACTATTCAGTTATTTAGTGGTACAGATATTTCCAAATGTCTTGTAAAAGAAATTGGTTAAAATGAGTAGTCTGGACGTGCGTGCATGCATGCATGCATTAGAAAAGAAATATTCGCCTATGAGGTCTTTGATCTTTTCAGGTTCAGAACAGATACAGATTTATTTTCTTTTGAGAAATCAAACAAAATTTGAAAAAAAACTTCTACTTTTTCATGCTTGAATAGAAGAAAGGTGTATGAATTGCACATATGACTCTCACTGAACGTTATTATTTTGGAACTCAAGTTGGATGCCAAAATCCAGCACACTGGGGAATAACAACATTATATCTTGTTGCATCAACTACCAACTAAATTTCTCTTTAAAAGAAATAAAGGGGTAGCATATAAGGACCAACCCCAACTTAAGTCAAAGTTCAACTCGCCAATTGAAAAGTAGCAACAAATAAAGGAGGGGTGTAGCTATCCCTTTAAAGTTAAAAGTGTGATTTTGGCACCACATTTTTCTACTTTGGTTTTAGTGGTCTTCATTTTTTAGCTATGTTTTATTGCTCTACATATTGTTTAATTTTTATATGGTGAGCCTCACAGAGTTTTGCCTTTAAGAAAAGGTTATATAAATGTTTTAAATAAATGATCCAAATGGAAATATTTCTCTTCCTTATATTCTCAGGCATTCATATTCTGAAGATTCTCAAGCAAAAGGCAACCCAGATAAACAACAAATATAACTGGAAAAGTATAATGCTCCCAACCTCATTTTCTTTAAGGTTACTGAGCGATATATTGTTTTTGCAAGGCATTATTCCTCTCAACTGCGCATCTTCCAAACTTCAGTCATTTATGTTTGGGATGTTCTGATCATCTCAAAGATCACAATGTCGTTCTTTTAGGGAATCCAGCAGTAGCTATATTACCCCACACTGATTAATTGAACTGGACCAGAATGCTATGCATGTACAAGTACTTTTCCATACTGTACTGTGTGCCAAGGTTGCTATGAGGATGCTTCCTTTCACTACTTCACTGCCAGATTTTTCAGAGTTGTTCTAAATAGATTAACTGGGTATCGTTTTCCAGCTCAGTGACCTATCAAATATAACCTCCAGCACAGAGACATGACTGTGGTCAACTGGAAGGAAAAAAAGCATGTCAATAACTATATCGTCTTTTCCCAAAACATTGGAAAAGTTTATCAATAATTACTTGAGTATGAACTATCTTTTACTCAGAATTGATTTCCTACCTACCATCAGTAAATACTCATTAGCATAACCTGGCTTTAATAATAAAAGAGATTTTTCTACTCCATGATCCATTTGTATCACATGTCACCTCATAATTAACCTTAATATCGTCTGAGGCTGATTCTGGCAGTTCAAAATACTTTTAGAATCCAAATCCCTAACACAAAGATGCCTTTTTGTTCATTGTTCAGCTTTTACAACCTTACTGTAATGCTAATACTAATTCAGCAGTGGCAGTTGTATAACTGAACAAACCTGAAGAGATTCTCACACATAATCTGGGTGATAATGCTATGTCACTAAATTTGCCTCAGGAAAGATAATATATATGATTCATTGTCTAAATTTTACATTAGTCAGTGTTCCCATAACTTCATCATTCTCACAAAGAGATAACAGCCAGATTTCTATTTGTGTGGTATGTCATGAAGAGCTGCCATGTTCTAAAGTGCAGATTCTATAACAGAGCCCCATGTGTAGATAGGAAGAAGGCAGCAAGATAAATAAATATGGGCATCAGACATGGACTGGCCTCCATATAATAAAAACCTAACCACATGATCTGTCTCCTCATGCACTACTTGTAAAGCATATGTATTTTCTCCAGAGCAGTTACCAGATGTATAGAGATATGGCTTTTATCAGTGCATCCCTTTTATACAAGCACAGTCTATGTGACATATATGCATGACACATATAGGGATCAGACTGCTCTTATATATTATCTGACTCTTGCACATTTGAAACTCATGCATGCTGTGTAAGTTGATATTTTAAACAAGAACAGCCAAAAAAAAATAACAGAATCGTTGCATTACATTGCATTGTATATGTTTTCTGTCCAGACTTATGCCACATCTAGTAGCAGAATTCAAATATACCAAGATATATAATTACTTTTTCCCCTCTTGTACTTGACGCTGTACTTCTTGAAGTCCATCAACTGCTTGGTGAAAATCAAACACTGCATAGATTTGAGGGAGATAAAACAAGGTTTGATTTTCAAATATTTCATACAATTATGTTTTTAGTGTTCTAACAATAAAGAAATCAAGCTGGTGTAATTATTAGCAGCATTGTGCTTCAAAATAAAGAAATTGCCAGGTCAAAACAACCTTAATCGTAATTTACCATCTGTTGTATCAAATATATTAAAATAAGAATTATTTGTTCATAGGCAAAAATATGAAGCTTGCTAAATTACCCTTTTTAATTAGAGAAAAGACAGTATATATATTTATGGCTAACTGGAAAACTCTTGTAGACTTTTTGCCTAAAACAGAAAAAATGCATTTACGACTGGATGTTTTCATGATTAGAAAAAGATTGGGTAATTAAAAAGCTTTTTTGTAATCATAGAGTAAGAGATAACTTGTATTTGCTGCAAATGATTAATAAGCTTCTTTCAATTTCTTTTTATATTTTTTCTGCACTTTCTTTTTTTCTCTTTCTTTGTTTTCTTTATGCTGTATTAGTTTGTGTTAGTTTTTATGTTCTTGTAAAAACTTTTAATAAAATTTATACAAAAATATAAATTCTTCCCAGTACAAATAAAATTAACAACAATATGAAAAAGTTGTATTTGTTTTCTGTCTCTGACTATTACTTACCAAGATGTGCTCTGTCAGATATTATAAGTCTTTTCTCCCAGTCCTTTAATCCTATCAAAAGAAACATGTACCAGTTAGAAGAATGTGGCTATAGAGGACTGAACAATCTACAGCAATCTTTCTCAAGTGGCAACTTGAAGATGTATGGACTTCAACTCCCAGAATTCCCCAACTAACCCTTCATGCCAGTTACCCAGGATGAAAATCCTTGCTCTTAGAGCAATAATACTCAAAGTGTAGCATGCAGAGGCCAATATCGCAGTCTCATAGGCCAAAGCCTGCTCACCATCAGTGACACATTTACAATCACTAAAAAGTGTCTTTCAAATAAATGTAATTTACCATCTCTTGGGAATTTTTCCAGCCTTAATCTCTTGTCCACAATAACTGAAGTAGGTCCATTTTTTCTTTTTTCAGAACATTAAAATATCCTTTTAAAATAAGGATGAATGCCACTATTTATAACAAGCCCCTTTCTTTTAAAAGAAAAATATGAGGTACAAACCTTTCTTCTCATTTTTTTCAGCTTCTTCAAATAAGCCAGGTAAGTGTATAACCACTCCATTACCTAAAAGGTATACACAAAACTTTTGCTGTAAAATCAAGACATCAAATATCATCCTTAGAAGAGTAAGGATTAGGCAAATACAGCTATTCTTATATCAGAAGAATTTGCAACAGATTGGATTTTTCCAGCTTTTCTAATTAAAGTTTAAAATGGAATTATTAAAGAATGGACTATTGAGTTAGGATACATATTATAAGGTTTCACTTTGCTGTGTCTCTCTGCCTTCTCCTCCAAGAAAGGATTACAAAGATTGATGGCGATGTTTTTTTCTGTGCTCTCAGAAAATCTACAGCTGGCCTTTATCTAACTGGAAGGCTTTGATTTACCTTTTGGCACATTCTGCCACTCTCATTGGATACCCTCTGCATTGGTTGAGTGACTGTCCCACAGTTCCATTCATCCTTTTTTGGTCTTTAGTGCACTTCCCCAGATTGCTTTGTGGACGTTCAATTACTTTGGAACTAATGAGCTTTCAGCAGTATTAACACTAAGCAGACTATTTTAAGCTTACTAGCTAATTTTTCTCTGTCCCATAACTATCAGTCTATCTTCAACAGCCATTTATTGTTTACTCCAATTTAATCTGAATCTCCATTCCTCTAGAAGTCTTTCTGATGTTTTATATGACTTGAAGCCGGCTTAATCCAGTATCTCCTCCTTTGTGATGTGGTATGTGGGAAAGACCTTGGGAGACTGAATCAAGAGATGTTGTCAAAGGAATGGTCAGATAAAAGATAGCATAACCCTCAACTGGAGAGTGGGCAGGGCAAGAGGCTCAGAAGTGACCCTCCCTAGTTTCTTGGGCTATAAAGGAGATGTGGTGAGACATGTGTTTTCAGACTTGCATGATAACTTTACGATAATGTAGAATTAGCTCAACCTGTTGCAATTTCTATCTTGTTTTCCCCACAAGACTGACATCAATCTTGTAACTCTCAATGTGAGACATTGCAAGCTCTCAAACCACTTGTGGGCTATACTGTATCTTACCTGACCATTCTCTTAATAGTAGTTCTTGACCCAGTATCCCAACATCTTTCCTAGATACGGGTACCATCACTCCTTCTCTCCTATGGCAGAAAGATTCCCAAGAGAATCTAAACTAAAATTTCAGCTTCTTGAGATCAACAAAGATAGCTTGCCCTCCCCAATGTTTGTTTAGGTTACATCATGAAGATTTGAGTATAAGATAAGCCAGCAATGAGATGTGACAACTGCAGGTGCATCACAGTCCTTCATCTCCAGATCATGTCTCATCTGCTCCAAACACAAGTCCATACATATGTAGCATATGCCATTCATGGATACTGCAGCCAGGATTACATGGAACAGGTCCATGGTTGCCAGGGAGCCCAGACATTTATAAATTGTATAGATTCCTCTCCCAGGACAAAGACACTGAAGTCCCCCTAGATCAGGAGTGTCAAACTGCCAGCCCATGGGCTGGATGCATCATATGCAGGTCACACCCACTCCAGCTCCACAAATGGGAAAAACATCACGAAACATCACGTGATGGCAACGTGATGCTGCGAGCTTGACACCCCTGCCCTAGATGACCAATCTTAGGAGCTGCAGATGATCTTGAGATGACATCCAGAAACTCATGCAGGCCTCCTAGTTAACTTATCTCTATGGCCCAATTCCACATATAAGCCAGACACCAAGGAAGTTCTCTTTGGTACTGTATTGAGAAAATCTCTGTACTATCCCTTCTGCTGGACCAATGTGCTGCAGTTACTGCAGAACCTGAAAATAAGCTGAGAATATTTTTGATAGGACTATATCCTGTCATTGCCTAATTTGGTCTTAGCAACACATGCCAGATCAATATATTCATCCACCACAATAATGTAGATGGACACAGTCTTATTCTACACTGACCTGGCATTTACCAGCAGCAGCTAGAGGCCAGTACACCTAATAGTGCCATCACTTGGGTCCAGATCTGGGGCAACTGGCTTAGAAGAGACCACTTCTCCCTGTATGGCAAAATGTAACTAAAATGTATGAAAATTAGACATAAAGTGGGATTTTTAACAGCTATTCTATGTTCTGAATATTAAAAAAATCTCGGTCACTTGTGCTGAATCTTAAGTATTTCTTCATTTCTTTTACTGAAAAGGCACAGATAATAGGTCAGTGTTTCCTCAAAATCTGAAAATGAAACAAGAAAATGCACAGGTTGTTTTATCTCTAATTTGAATTCAGTCAGATTTATTCCTGCATACTGAAAAGAATAATAGATAAATGTTGCTGAAATAAAAAATAAACGTACAGTATATTTGGATTTTATGAATCTGAATGGAATACTTACCAATAAAAGAAACAGCTTTAGGATTAATTATACCACTAGGAAAGAGGTGAAAATCGTATTCCTTCCCATCAACAACGACAGTGTGACCTGCATTATTTCCACCCTACCAAAAATAAAATAAGATATTTAAATAATTTTTCATTTATTACAGTTGGTGAAGAACATATCTACTGCCAGCAGACAAAATTTTGTTGTGGTACTACAACAGAGATAGATATTATGTCCTTCGGCTCCTTGTCTACTCTTCCTTCATTCGTCATTTGAGCATCACCCTGGTTTCTTGAATAATATGAAGATATAAGGATAGTAATAGGGTGGAAATAGTTCCATACAGAAAAGAGACAGTGCAACTAGCTACTCCTAAAAATTGAAACCAGCTAGCTGTTTAACTTGGGGTGACTGCGATTTTTAATTTTTATTTATTTACACTTCACCTTTACTATATTTATAAATTACTCAAGTTGGTGAATGTATCTAATCCTCTCTTCTCCTCCTGTTTCCCCTACAACACATTTGTGAGGAGAGTTGGGGTGAGAGAAAGTAACTGACCCAAAGTCACCCAGTCAGCTTTTATACTTAAGGCCTCTCAGTCTCCTGGTTTCTAGACTGGTGCCTTTACCACTAGACTAGACCAACTTACTCTTTTATATTTTTCTACTAGTGCTGATAACCTGGCATTGCCCAGGTATTTATTTATAGGGGGGAAATGTCCGGATGAAACATAATTTCTAATGTTGGATTTTTTTCCCTTACCAGAGGGAATCCCCTTATAGAGTACAGTGAACCCATTACCATGGCAACTGCACTGCACTGTACAGTAGAAGCCATTTTACAGCAATACAGTAGAAGCCATTTTAAGGCACAACAGGCTGTATCATAACAGAATACACCCCCCAAGGGGTGTTAGGGGTGTTTTACCCCCACAGTATTTGTTGCCAGAGAGTAAGTCATCTGTGTACTAAGTTTGTTTGAAATTGCTTGAGGCGTTCCAGAATTATGCTGGAACACACACACACACACACACACACAAACACACACTATAGTGATTGAAACTGACAATTGAAGGGGAAACCACAAGCAACAAAAAGCTTGATACCTTTTATTTTCAGAATACTGCAAAGAATGGCTACAGTGGAGGCTGAAATATGATCACACTTTAGAATTTATTGATCTTAAATGAAATTCAAATTAATATGGTAATAAAGCAGTAATGTCCCAAAACATATATAGTTGACGACATTCACAAGAAGTTGGCTTATTTCAGCTTCAAGATTAGTTGCAACACAGCATTACTGATTTTACCACCCTGAAGCTATGGTATAGCAGTGATGGCTTAAGGAAAAAAATAGTATTTAAAAACAGGAGACTTTGTGATATAATTAAAGCTTATTTCATCCATGGGCTAGGACAAGATGAGAGCAGTACTGTATCATGGAAAAACAGGCATTGCCAGGGCATAACTGTCTCCTGATAAACTACGAATCAGAGTATGGCCTTATAGTGTTACAATTAACCTTTTGAGAGAGAAACAAATTCCTGTTAAATATTTCTTTTAACAGTTTATTTGAGCAACGTGCGATGCACCTAAATGAAAACATATTTAATTGAGGTCCATAGTGACTACTTTTCATCAAAAGGCTCCAAAGACCTGGCCTGCAGGATCTGTCAGCTCAGAACAATAATGTCAATGTTAAACCGAAATGGTTAAAAGCTGCAAAACCACCTAGATCTGAACTTAGCTGTGGCTAGTTTTAAATCAACCAGCAAATGGTCCAGGGGATTTGTTCACTGTTACACAGTTTGATTTCATAACTTGGGCCTTTTGTGTCTTCTATATCTGCATGTCAGATCAAAAGACTATGCTGATAATACACTCAGGATTTACTTAAAAGCTCTTATTTCCCCACAATTTCATGTCCACTACAGCAGCAGCACAAGCACTAAAAGACACTAACAAAACTGCTGCAAAAAAAAAAAATCCTTTTCTGACGTTATAGCAGTATTAACACTACTGTGTCAACTTCCACTTTCTCAGAGAGCTAAGTAGCCAAAGTAATTACATTTTGCTATTAATTTACCTGCAAATCTTAGAAAGCAAGGAGAAAGATTAAACAAATGCCATTTGTACTTAGTTGACTGCTTCACCTGTTACACAGAACAGCAGACTTATATTGTATTTATTTATTTAACCCATAGCAGAGCTTGAAGCACAAACAAGAGCCAAGGAAAACAACCTTGTTTTCTGATAGAGATTCGGTAACTTTAAACTTGACCTTTTCATGGAATACGGGTGATCCTGCTGCAATTTTATAAGTAGCCAAGGAGAAAACCAAGTTTAAAATAGCAATGTCACCCTTTTTTTTTTCCTCTTAGCACAAGCAGGTGCTTAACAGATGCTAGGTCCATAAGTTTCTATTTTGTATCAGTTTACTTGGCTTTTAAAAAGCAGCAAGCGAAATAAATCATCTTATTCACATTTATTGTTGTAATCCTAGTCCCCATAAAATGTGGGCAAAACTTTATGGGTTGCAAATGGTAACGTGTGCAATTATGGCAGCGTGTGCTACATGTTTGTACAAAACATATATGTATTTGATTTGTATTCCACCTGTATTAGTGTTTATATATACCTAGCTACCTTGCTGGTCATGGTTAGGCACAATTCAACACTTCCAATCTGAAGTTGTGACTTTGTTCAAAGCCTCTGCATTTTGCAATGTTTCCCATTATTCCAACCCACCTTTGAATGTTGTGCATTGTGTGAAATGCACAATTTTCAAATAAAGGACTGGGATATGAATTTCCTTTATTTTTCAGATTCCAGCCTTTATTCTGACCTAGGTTTCCCAAGAGCATGAAGCAACCTCCTTGTCTCGACAAAAAACCCTTTTATTCATTTACTGTGAATTCTGCTCATTCACATCCAGCAAAGTCTTTCAAGGGGGGATTTACAGTCATAGATACCTTATCTGGCTTGGAGAGCTGACAGGCCGATATCTGCAAAACTTGGCAACAAGACTCAAGAGAGTCACAAACCAATTGAGCGAACTACTTGTCTCCTACAAACTCCACTCCACTTTCGCTCCTCTTTTATTTCCTCTGGGAAGGGCCATTCATTGTCCACTTGTGGCCTTACTCCCAAGTCGACTGCTGTTCTTTAGCTGTTCCCTTCGTCTGGCAACTCTGCGCATGTGCACACTGGGAACAGGCTCCAGCTGTTCATCTGCCTCACTGATGTCTGACTCTGAAGGCAGCTGATAACTGGCACATGGCTCTGGTCCTTTCTCTGCCTCTGACACAGAGCCCTCATCAGAGCCTTCCCCAGACTCCAGGACTGGCCCATGTTCCTCCCCAACCTCCTCACTGGCCAAATCTGGTGCCAGCTCCACTGGTGCTGGCGGGCCACAACAGCCTTCTTTGCTGCTGTTGTTGCTCCTGCTCTCTGGAACAGCATCCTATCAGCAGTATGAATGGGCGCCCATTCTCCTGGGGGTCCTGAAAAACATTTAAACCTGGTTCTGTTCCCAAGGTTGGGGTTAATGTATTTGGGTGTGAGAGAGATTGTTGTGTCATAGTTTATTGTGGCTGTTTTTAATCCAAGCTATCTTGTTTTGTCTGTTTTTAATTGTTTCAACTCTGCATTAGATTTTGTAAGCTGTCAAGAATCTATTGGACTTAGTGGTGAAATAAATTCCTACTAAGTCATAAAATTCACCAATCATTATGTGTCACTGCACCTGAGGACTAGAAAGAATCAACATGTGACTAACATGAGTAGAAACCTCTGAGACTTTGAAGTAAAAGCAGGTCATAATAAATAAGAATGTTTAAAATGTAGTACATTATTCAAAGTGTTTAGTCATTCTAGTTTTACTAACAAAATTAAGGTTCCTACATCCAAAGACAAAAGCTTGAAACGTATGTTTTTTAAAATCAAAGTCATCATTACCCACTTCATACCTGCTCCCCTATTGCCATGCCCAGTTCCTTTTTCAATTCTTTACTACTCTGATTCATTTTATATAAGGTCATTTCAGTTTAAGATAAGTCAGTTTAAAAAGCTGATAATAAGTAATCATAGTACTGTTGCAAGAACTGAGTCATGTCAAATCACAATTCTATTCCCACATTGGTCAAACAGATGATCCTCAGAAAGCCAAAGCCAAAATCTAAAACTTCAGTCTCCTTACTAAAGAGAAAGCCCAATTATGATCAATCAGATTTATCAAATAAATGCACTCATTCAGCAATGCGCTCTACACTAAGCAAATATGGACCCCAAAAGACTGGATTACAGCTGTAGACTAAGTGAGTTATCTATATTGTTAGCCTACAAGATTTAGGAATTTTAACTTTGTTTCACACTGTTCTCTCGTGTTGATTTTTTTTTTCTGGAGCTATTTGAAATGCTAAAATTATTTGAGGGAGTAGGTAACACCACATTAGATAAACAATTGTATCACAATTATTAAATTTCATTTGTACCAACAGTTTCTCTCCATTTGAATTGTAGGTTTTAAAAATTGTTATCATATGCATACCACTTTTCAAACCTGCTAGGTTAATAATCTGCATTTAAAACAGTGTATCTTAAAACAAAATGTTAGCCAGAAGTTATCTTTTTGATTTCCTGCTTGGCAAAGACTTCTATTTTTCAAAAGAATCACTTTTGTACCCCTGACTTAAAGCAATTAAAAGTGAATCCCAAAGCCCAATGTTGCATCACAAACATTTTATAACAGGAATGTTAAGGTAGACATCCAAAAACCCTCTCCTCCCCCCAAATTCCACACTTCTCACTAGAGCTTCAATCCCACCTATTTTGCCACATTGCCAGCACCCAGCTCCCCCCCCCAAATTAAAAAGGATGGTTCTTGATACTCAAAATTCCCCATTCCTGTTTTAGAACGGCTGTCTAAAAAACACAGACCAAGAACAGATTGCACATGAACTGCATTGTACATGACTTAATGATTTACACAGATGGATCATGGTGTTTGGTTTTTTTGTCTTGTCAGGAAGAGGAATGTGGTTGTCATTGCCTTCTGCTGGGACAGTTTCTACTTCCTGGTCTATCCTAAGCCTTGGTGTTTCATGTCTGTCTTTGATCCAAGTACTAACCAGGGGTGACCCTGCTTAGCTTTTGAGATCATCCAAGGATACTAGGTGCTCTCTTCATTTTTACTACAATCTCATAATGCTGCCCTGGAAGATACTGTGTATGCTAACTTTTCTTTACAACTATAAAATTGCTGGCAATTTTCATGGCAGCGAAAGCACAGAAGAAAATGTTCAACTACTTTTTCCACATGCTGTTTTACTCCATCCATTGCCACATGGTAGCTTCCCATTCTGAACCAATCTCTAGAATATAAGCAGATATTTCACGTATCTAATTTGAATCAAAGAAAATAGATAGGAAAGCTGTTTTGCTGCTTTAGGTATATGGTAGGATATGTTGCTGGGTGGTGAAAGACTGAACTAGATTATTCATACAGTTCCTTAGAATAACTCCAGAACAATTGCTTTAGATCTTAAAACAATAAAATAAAATAAAATGTAACTTATTTATGAGAACCTGCAATTAATTTAAAGCAGAATGAATGCAGAACTAGATGAAATGTAGTCATGTTTATTATTCAAAGTCTTGCCATATGTGTGTGGCACACCTACACACACACTGTCCGCTTTGGTACTTTGCACTCTTTTGCTTTAAAGGTAAAGGTTCCCCTTGCACATATGTGCGAATCGTTCCCGACTCTAGGGGGCGGTGTTCATCTATGTTTTAAAGCCAAAGAGCCAGCGCTGTCTGAAGACGTCTCTGTGATCACGTGGCCAGCATAAGGTTTTAGAGGTTTTAGAGGTTTATTAACATTTATAGGCCGCCCTTTTCCCTGAGGGGACTCAGGGCGGCTTACATAAAATCAAGGGAGGGATATACAAACATTAACGCAGACAAACATAGAATAAAATAATGAGCAACATTCATTCATCATTCGGGAGGGGCAATTATCTTTGTCCCCAGGCCTGACGGGCTAGCCAGTTCTTAAGGGCTATGCGGAAGGCCTGGACGGTGGTGAGAGTACGAATCTCCACGGGGAGATCGTTCCAAAGGGTCGGAGCTACTACTGAGAAGGCTCTCCTCCTTGTAATTGCCAGCCGGCACTGGCTGGCAGATGGAACTCGGAGGAGGCCCAATCTATGAGATCTAATTGAATAATTAAATAATTAAATGCCGAAGGCATACGGAACGCTGTTACCTTCCCACCAAAGGTGGTTCCTATTTTTCTACTTGCATTTTTACATGCTTTCAAATTGCTAGGTTGACAGAAGCTGAGACAAGTAACGGGAGCTCCCTCCGTTACGTGGCACTAGGGATTCGAACTGTCGAACTGTCAACCTTTCTGATTGACAAGCTCAGCGTCTTAGCCACTGAGGTACTGCATGATGGCGAAAAATGATCATATGAGAAACTATGCAAAAAGATATGTGAGTTCAGTTCTTTACCTTTAATCTTTCTTTCACAATTATTCCAAACTGCTCAGGGCAATATACATTTTCACAATAATCCTACGTATGGGGCAGACTACACCAAGCCTGAATTCACACATTATGCTAAGTCAAATTTTGTTCAATCACAAAAGAATACATTCATACAAAGTCTTGCCATAAGCTGCTGCTTACAAACTACACCAAGCTGCAGTAGAATTTATTTGGTTTGGTTTAGCACATAGTATGAACTCAATCTGAAAAAAAAAAGTATGTTCCCCTGGGACTGCAGAACAAACTGAAACAGCATCCCTCTGGGGCTACACTTATATATTCCGTAAAATCCAAGGGCTCAGAGAGACATACTTCCCATACAAACGTTGATCAAGTGATCAAAGTTGGCTTCAAATAATGTATCATAGCATAGAAGTATGAAGCCAATGAGTCCAAAGCAACACCTAATAAATTTCCACTATGCTCCTCTGCTCACCTTCAACCTTTCTTGCAGACAGCCGTCACCAGACACCCGGACAAATGCGCCACTCTCCAGACGCATACAGTTTTGGTAGATTCATCATGCTTGTCTGTACTTCCAGATCTTATGTCATTTGTCACCAAGGCTCAGCTATTTCTATTTATAACCCAGAACTGTTTTCCCTTCCACTTCCCTACATTTAGTCTGCAGCCAGTCTTAAAAAGCCTCCCTCCCTTTCTACTGCAGCTTCATTCTAGACATGGGTAAGAAAGACATGCATCAGAAGTAAAAGGGAAAAAAAAAAGTAGATGACAGAAACTAAACTAAATGAACTTAGTTCAAATTATGGGAGTGCATTATGTGCAGAGGTAGCCTTAGACCAATGGTACATTTTCGGACTAGCCCACTTCATAAAGCTGCTATGAAGATTACAAGAAAGGCCAAAAGAAATGTTAGTTGCAGAGATATGACAAAAGTCAAAGACAGAAAAAAAGAGAAAGTAATAATAATAATGAAATAAACTTTGAACAAAACCAGCCCTTGAGCCAGGATAGAACAAAACAGAAAATACTATCTAGCGACAGGGAAAAAATTGCCAGAAAGTTTAAGAAAACACACATTAGGCCCACCAGTCGGGAAATCCATTTCTCTCCCTTATACAATTACAACTCATAACTGGATAAAGTATCTGGAAATGATGGTCTACGTTATCCAATATTCTGAAGAGCTCAGGAGAAGGATGCATGGACAATGTGGAGGAGATTTTAAAATAAAATTTTAAATAAAATTTTGAAATAAAAAACGTTTGAAATAAAAGAAACAAGAAGACTCAGAACAGAGAAGCAATATGTAATTACCAATATTTCAGTATGCCCTTGTTTCTTTATTTTTCCATTGCACCTTAATCCACACCAGTGTTCAAACATTCCAGGGACGTTTCACCTGCGCAGGTGAACAAGGGCATCCTGAAAGCCACAGCAGCAAAAACGAGAGGGGGAAACTGGCTCCAGACTAGCAGGCAACGAGACCGGTCGGGGTGATGCCCGTCCTGTCCCGGGGCAGCCCTTACTCACCTGGCACCTACAGACGAGGTCGGCTTCGGTGGCCAGGAGATCCACCACTTTCCCTTTCCCTTCGTCGCCCCACTGAGCGCCCAGCACTACAGTCGCACGGTTGCCGCCCGGCTCACTTCGCAGCCGCTTCAAACCGACGCCGAGAACAGCGCCGGTGGCAGTGCGAGAGGCGCGATCGTTGGCAGCTGCCACAGCCGCCCGGGTGCCCGACATCGCGGCAAACAGGTCTCTCCTACGAGGCAGCTTCTGGCAGCCACTCGAGCGCTCCCTCCAGCTCGCTCGTCGCCTTTTAAGGACACCGGGAGCCAACCAGAGCGCAGCCAGAGCTTTGACGTAGGCAGGGAGGGACAGAAGTCGCCCTCGCCCGTGGGTGTCGTGGACTTGAATGGAGACGGTGGGAAGGGGGTTTGCAACGATAGACATGTAATTGAAATGATGGGAAGGGGGTATCCGCGGGGAAAGCGAGGAGCGGCTGCAGGCCTGGTGCGGGCGACCTGTTCAACTTGTGGCTGTATAAGGATGCACATGCGGGCGCAGGAGTTGCATAGTAATTACTGTAGCCTGATAAAGATGAAAGATTTACAAGAATAGCAACAGCATATATGCCTTGAGGGAGATTGGTGTGTATGATACAGACAGACAGACAGATAGCAATAGCAATAGCAATAGCACTTAGACTTGCAGCTAGACTTAGACTAAGCTGTTTGTAGAGTATTGCTCCCAACAATCTCATTTTACTGACCTCCGAAGGATGGAAGGCTGACCTTGAGCCAGTGGGATACACACAGAGTANTACAGTGGTATTAACACTTCACATGATCTTGATTCTATCCCTCTCTTTATGCAGCCTAGAACTGTGTTGGCTTTTTTGGCAGCTGCTGCACACGGTCTGGCTCCTATTTAAATGGTTGTCCACTAGGATTCCAAGATCCCTCTTGGATCATTTTTGGACACAATGTGGTATTTTGTCGAGGAGCACCAGTCACACTGAGGGGTAGAGACAAGACCCCACTTAAACCATAACTCTTGGCAGACACCATGTTGGATGCTGATCCTGTTCTGAGTTGACCAATGCTGGTGAGGAAGGTCAAAAACTGGCACCTTCTGTGTAGGGTTATCTACATAGCTGTCTGTATCTGGGCGTTCAGCAGCCCATTTGGCTTTCCACTTTGCAGTGATGTTGAAGTTGTTACACAGCGGTCGGTAGTGAACCAAACAACTAGTGACAATTGATACCCAGACTACATTGAAGAATTGGAAGTTGACAACAGTTGGCAGCCAGATATCTTTGTAGAACTCCTGGCTCTCTAAATACATGGCAATGGATCATTGCGCTAGCAAGTTATTTATTTACTTAGGCTCAGAGGCATTATCACCAATGTGAAAACATTTCTTGTAATTTCAGTAGTCTAAAGTTCAAACATTCCTAGAAATTTCAAACCAGAAAACATACACAAATGATTTACCAGAAAGAGCTTTGTGGATGCCATTTGCAGGCTGCTTCCTTAGAACTCTTTTAAACTGGGTTATTCCTAAAATGACATTTCTTATCTTGGTCCACAGGAAGTAGCCACTCCGATTGCTTGATGGCCAGCTACTTTCCAAAACAGCCTGCAACGACATCAAATGGATGTTAACCGTGCATTTCTGAGGATCTTGGCAAAGATTAGATCCTATTTGAATTTAAACCATCTAGGGTCACAAGTAATGCTTCGAGACACGGGTTTATTCAAGAAGGTTCATTGCTACATACAGATAGAATCTAAATCTGGGTTGCTCTGATAGTTCAGTACTTGGATAGTCAATGCGAGTCCTCATTTTACCGACCTTGGAAGGAGAGAAGGCTGAGTCAACCTTGAGCCTGGTGAGATTCGAACTGCCAAATGGCAGGCAGCCGGCAGGCAGCAGTACTGCACTCTAACCACTGTGTACACCATGGCTCAGTGTACTTGATTAAGAAATACATAGAATCATGGAATAATAGAGCTCATTAGAGAGATTGCCAGGGAGGGCAGACAATTTTTATGTAGGCTTTCTCCTCCAGGACACAAACCCGGCTACCACGCATGCAGTGGCAAAATTCTATGTTGCTGCAATGTCCACAAGAAAAAAATTGGTTACAGAATTATAGTTGTCATCTTGTGCCAATTATTTGCACATATCTCTAACAATTTCTGAGTCCTTGTATTTACTCCCACAAGTATTGGCTTTTCACCCACGTAAACCAGGGAGTGACCCGAACAGTTTGAGAACATGTATGTTATTATCCCCTTTTAATGTCAATACTTTTAAAATATATTTTAATGTCAGTTTTAATATATTGTAAAAAGTAATGTGCATTGCTGGTCTTTGACCGCAATAAAGATTTATATTTATATAGGGCTGGAAGGACCTTGCAGGTCTTCTACTCCAACCCAAAAGCAGGTGTCCTTATTCCATACTGGACAAATGAATGTCCATTCTCTTCTTGAAAATCTGCAGTGATGGAGCACCCACAACCCCAAGCTATTCCATTGATTAATTGTTCTTACTGTTGTGTCTTAATGATGTACATACAATATAATATAATAATAATGGAAGAGACCTTGGAGGTTTTTCAGTCCAACTCCCTATTCAAGCAGGAGATCCTATATACCATACCAGACAAATGGTTGTTCAACCTTTTCTTTAAAACCTCCAGTTGCCTCTTGAAAAAGCACCTTTGGGACAACCATGACCTGGATGACTGAGAATCTTCACAGATCTTTACTTCCAGCAATGGAGAACCCCAACTCTGGGAGCCAAGCTGTTCCACTGATTAATTGTTCTCACTAGTAGGAAATTTCTCCTTGGTTCTAGGATGGATTACTTGATTAGCAATTCTACAGAAGATCATGAGGGCTGCAGCTACGATGGAATGCTTAAAAGAACTTGGGAAGCCCATGTGAGAGAACAGTTCAAGCAGGCTCCTAAGATTCTGTTACATTACCCTGTTAGCAATAAAGATCTTTGCAGAAAGCTAAGAGGTTTTTGTTTTTAGAGTTTGCAAGTGTCCAAAGACCTGATATTAGGCAAGACAGATTTAAAGTCAAAGAATTCCAACTGACAGGGCCCAGGAAGGGAGCCTTCACGTCTGTTGCCCCAAACCTGTGGAATTTTCTTCCCCTAGAGGTCCGTCAGGTTTCCGAAAAATGTCCTAATTAATTCATGAGCCTCGAGCCAAGTTTCAAAAGAAATCCAGTCATTGATTAGGAACACCATTTCGGCAATACCCCATTGCTGTCAGATCTGATCTCATTTTAATTATGGCTGAACTTTACCCGTTTCCTCCCTTCCCTCAGTCTGTGTCATAAATCACATTCACCAACAAGGTGCACGCCTCACAAGCCTGCTGTAGTAATCTGAGATCCTACTCTAGCCAAAGGTATGCATGGAATGTGCTCCCCCCCCTCTTTACTCACCATGGCGACTATAAGTTGACATTAGGTCTCCACTCTGTTAAAACATGTTAAAAGGTGACTCTGCTGCTTCATTTGGGAGGCCCACAGGGGCAGGCAGCCATGGGGATGTTTAGGTCCCTGAAACTCCCCCTCTGATGTTTTAAAATTGTAATGATTTTATTCTTGTTTTTAATTGGGCTCCAATGGGGGGGGTGTTTCACAATGGAGGTAGTGGATAGATTAATAACAGATCCCACCTACCTCCCTTTCTCATTTCCCCCCCTCCCCATCTTTATTTAGGATTGAATATTTGGATCAAAAATTGTATTCTATTCCATATTGTCTAGAGGCNTCCAAGGTGAAAGTAATAATAGTGGCAATAATCAAAGCCAGATGGAAATGTGCCAGCAAGCCTAGGAATCCAAAGGCTGTGGCAGGGAAAGGCCAGATGTTAGAATGCCACAATAAGAAGTAGTCCAGTGCCAAGCAGAAAGCACAGGGGGAGGCTTCACAACAGTGGGGACAGGCAGAGATGGAGTCGCTTCTGTGGGGCCACCTGACCAGACACGAGCGGAGGAGGGGGGGCAGAGACGGGGCGAAAACGAGGCCGAACGGGGAGGAGAGCCATCCGGAGGGACTGCCGCGGCACCAGGCAAAGCCAGCCGCCCAACTTCCTCAGTCCCAACAGTAATTCTGTCCGTCCACTCTCCTTCCGAAGCAACAATAGCCCGGCAAAGCCCCCCAAAAACACAGCCAACACGCAGAAGGGACCATGGAGATCCTCTAGTCCAACCCCCTGCTCAAGAAGGAGACCCTATACTAGTATTGGCGAAGTTTTTTGGCACCAAGTGCTGCAATGGGAGCATGCACGCATGTGCTGGGGAGTGCCGGAAACTGGAAGAGAAGCTCCCTGATGTGCACATGTGGGCGTGCCGGGAAGCTGAGCTTCCAGTTTTCAGTGTGCTCATTTGCACCAGTCACCTTGTCTTCCAATTTCTGGTGTGCATGCACATGTGGAGACAGCTGGCTGGTGGACATGCATGTGCCGGAAGCTTGGTTTCCTTGGGCACATGGGGCGCCAGAGAACTGCTCTTCCAGTTTCTGGGACTTCCACACACACAAAGACCAGCTGGCTGGCGTGCATGTGTGCAAGAACATGGAAGAGAAATGGGCGATGGCTGGCATGCCTGGAGAGATGACTCTGCATGCCACTTCCAGCACATGTGCCATAGGTTCACCATCAAGGTCCTCTACCATTGCAGACAAGTGACTGTCCATTCTCTTTTTGAAAACCTCCAGTGATGATGCACCCACAACTTCTGAAGGCAAGCTGTTCTACCAGTTAATTGTTCTCACTATCAGAAAATGTCTCCTTAGTTCAGGGTTGCTTCTCTTCTTCGTCCTTCTCTCCTTAGTTCTAGGTTGCTTTCCATTCATTCCTTTTTGTTCTGCCTTCAGGTGCTTTGGGGAATAGGTCCCCCCGCTTCTCGGTGGCAGCCCCTGAAATATTGGAACACTGCTATCCTGTCACTCCTGCTCCTCCTTTTCACTATAGTAGACGTACCCGATTCCTTCAATCCTTTTTTATATGTTTTACCCTTCCAGCCTTCACATCATCTTTGTTGTTCTTCTCTGCACTCTTTCCAGAGTCTCAAGATCTTTTTCATATTGTGGCAACCAAAACTGGATGCAATGCTCCAGCCATGGATTTTCCAAAACATTATAAAGTGATGCTATATGTCATGTGACCTTGATACTATTCCTCTCTTAGAATCTGAGCATCAGCCAGTGGGATAGGCTCCAGATGAGGGGGAAGAGGTGCCCATCC